GGGCCTCAAGGCCGCCACCCCTTATACAGTTACCATCTACGGGGTGATCCGGGGCTATAGAACACCAGTGCTCTCTGCTGAGGCCTCCACAGGTACCTTCCTCTCCCTGTCGATGCTCTCCCACAAGGCTCCTTGCTTTATCTCCAAGAGATCGCAAGGGGAGTCAGCTTCTTTCCATGTCTGAATCCTTTCCACGCTCCCCTTAGCTGCTGGCTGTGCATGCTCACACACCTCCCTGTGGGCTGTGCCTTAGTCCAGACGCCTTTGCCATCTTGAGAATGAAGGATGAAGATGTTGCCTTTTCTGACCTCCAGCCTCCAGCGTCTCCCAGACTTTACCTGTCCCATCCTACAACTTTATCCCTTGTGAATGATGGCTTTCTATTTCAGGAGATGCAGCCTGATGGTTTTAATTCTCTTCTCCAGGGCTTAGATATAACTAAAAGCTGACCCTTCCAAGTGTGCTTTCTGGTGGAGCACAGATTATTTACTTTAGAGAGTCTTTTTTGCTAGTTGGAAATGGTGCTTCACTATCCCAAATTCCCTGAAGGATATGGGCACTGTGGTTCTTGCATTTAGAAGAAACATTTTAATTTAAATGTTTCTTTAAAATGCACTGAGTATAATAAGAGAATTGAATTACCCTCCTCCGGGCAATTCTCTCAGATACTGAGTCATTGTTAGAACATCAAATTAGCAAACAGCTAGACCAAAAAGGAAAAAAAAATCACACAATTATGACTGCAGACAGTACCAAAGAAAAAGCCATTCATTAGCAGAAGTACACACAGCAGCATTTGGAGCAAGAATGTCCCAGGCTATGAATGTCAAAGATCTGATGCCCTTTTCTTTCTTTTCATCGACTTGCACCCTGGAGTGTTGGCCTTTGGATGGCACACTCCTAGCCCAGACCCAGGAGGGTGCATTACTCTTTACTCATCATTCTGCCCCAGAGACAGGGTGTTCAGTGTTTCCCCAAGTGCCTGCTAAGTGAACAGCCTTCCCCAGCACTGTTTTCCATTGCTCATCTTCCTACATGCCTCCATTGGTTTGAAGGTCAGTAGAGGCTGTGTTGTTTGGTTTTGTATATGCCTGCCCCATTTTTGGATAGTTATGGCAACTAAAGTTTTATGCAAACCTATATATCCTAGTTGGTTCTAGCAAAAGCATAGCTTCGCATTTTAGCCTCAATAATTTTCAGTAACTCCTGCTGAGATAAACATTCAGCACAGGATACTGCTTCATCAGCAGTGCCCCGAATTGCCTAAAAATTGCAGCTGAGGCTGCCCTGGATGTACCCAGGGATCTTTTATCCGACATCCAAAAACCATCCCTTCCCAGCAGGCAGAGAAATCATTCGCCACTTCTGATCTTTTCTGCAGATCTTGTGGTTTGGGTGTTTTTAGTATTTTTATGTGTTTTTTTTTTTTTCTTTTTGATGATAGCAACATTCTTGCTTCTGATGAGTTGGTCTGTGGGAAGGAAGGTCTACAATTCCGTCTGATCTGTGTTTCACCAAATCTCTTGGGATGGGAAGACCTTTTCCTTCCTTGCTAGAGAGACAGCACTAGCTTTCTACACCTTGCTTCTGCCTGCCCTCTGCATGTTTTATTCCTGTTGCTCGGAAAAGCACTGTAGGACCATCTCCCAGATAAAACGTTATTTCTTGGCTGAATAGGGTTGCCTGACTGCCTTGTCTTGGCTCAGCTCTCTTCGTTGGCAACACAATACTAGCCTTCTTGGCCCACGTAGAAGCAGTTAAGAGAGCACAAGCTATTTTAACAGAATATGAGAATGGCTGGCCTTTGTCAGAAATATGAAGAAAATACCAAGAATTACACTAAGTTGCCAATTCCCTGTAAGTCACAAAATCAGAAGCCTCATGGTACCACCTTGGGAGGATAATGGCGTCAGAATTGTTCAGTCTTCATTTGAATAGATGGGAGCTCCCTCAAAGCAAAGGATGCCTGTAGGAGAGAGCCAAGTAATCTTGGTCTCCTGAGTGCAATTCAAGAGACTGGAAGCTACCAGCCCTGATATCTTTTGACTGATGGCCAGCATCCCTGAGGCGGGGCTCCTGGAAGCATCTGGGCTTAGGCACAGTTCCTGCTGCCATCATTCAGCGTGGCTTCTGACACGCAGAATCTCAACTAGCCTGATCGTGTGTGGCAGCTCCAGAGCAGGGAAATCTAATTACCATGGCTTCCTTTTTCTATTCTTCTTTTAACAAACCCTCTTTTTCTCTCCGATTGGCACCAGTTGGTAATGCTGCTTCATTTCACCATAACCCTGAGCTATCAGATCTTTCTTTCCAGCTCTGGTTCTATTAATAACCTCAATCTTAAAACACAGGCCAAATGATTAACTCCGATTTCTTTGTTTCTTCTCTCTTACCCCTCCTTTTTCAGCCGGAGAACCTGAAATTGGAAACTTAAATGTTTCCGACATAACTCCTGAGAGCTTCAATCTCTCCTGGACAGCTACCGATGGGGCCTTCAAGACCTTTACCATTGAAATTATTGATTCCGATAGGTTCCTGGAGACGCTGGAATACAATGTCTCTGGTGCTGAACGAACTGCCCACATCTCAGGGCTACGCCCTAGTAATGATTTTATTATCTACCTCTCCGGACTTGCTCCCAGCATCCGGACCAAAACCATCAGTGCCACGGCCACCACAGGTACATATGCGTTCTCCCACTTCTAACACCCTCTCTCCAGAGTCTTCTTTGCAGGATGAAGCCACTCCTCGCCCACTGAAGCATAAGCCACAGTGCATTAACTCTTCCGTGATGCTAGGCTGGAGCCTATGTAACATAACTCTCTTCCAGGAGCAGCTCAGCTGGTGGATTTCCATGAAGCCCCTTGCCTGATTTATCACTGACCAGGACATTTGCAGCATAAAATGTAGTTTGGTCCAGACTGTCATATAGAATCTGGAGAAAAGAATTCTCCCCTTCAGTAACTAAAAAGCCATAATAAGCGTTCTCCTTGACTTGAAAAGACATCTATATCATTCAAAGAGGTCTTAAAAATTATATTTTGTGTTATCCTAGTGTCTTTGTCTTCCTAGTGCCTTTGACTTCCTAATACCCAAATAGCCCAATGATTTAATGAAATTGTGTTGGTGCTATTATTTTTTTTCAACTGAGAAAGTGATAAGAAAGAGCAGGGATTACTCATCACATGAGTGCGGGAAGAAGCCATTCCATCTGGATCACCCCAATTCCAACACCACCTCTAGGAGAAAGGACCAGAACATGCTGTCTTGCTCCCAGAACAGTGAATGGTACATGGCAAAAATAAAAGCAAAATAGTCATGTTTAAACAAGGAGCTCGGTTAGCAAAAGTATAAATTGCTCTCACTTTAAATTCATGGTATCTGTGACATACATACTATGGGAGATGCTCTCTGGCATGCCTCAAAAAAGAACTCTATGTGACAATAGAAAGGAGAGCCTTTGCCATTCAAAACAGCATTCTTAGTGCATTTTGGACAATGCCTTCTCTTGACAGATAAAATAAGACATCACAAACTGAAAAAAAAGTTATTTGTAGGATAAACACAGGAGAATTTCCTCTTATAGTGCCCAATCTCGTATTCTAGGGAATTCAAGAAAATGGTTGACATCGTAGTATCAAAATTATCCATCATTTAAGTCACACATGGTTGAGACAGGGTGTGTCCTCATTCTACATGAGACTACAAATTGTCATCAGGGCGGTCCACAGAAAAGGCAGAGAGCCAGCATTATCTCCTTCTCATCTCAGCCAGATTAAAGTGTACCAAAACCTAGGGAAAAAAATCAGTCGCCCATATATATTTGTTTCTCATGGCTCAAATTGGTTTTCAACAAAGGACAGGTTCCTTTACCGGAGGGTAAAGTTTAAAACTTTATGGATTTAGTCTTACGTGTTTTGATTGTGACTCTGTTAATAGCATTTTAAATTGACACGCTTTCATATTTTTTTCTTCTTGCTTTAGTAGCCGAACCTCTCCTTAGCCACCTCACTGTGTCAAATGTGACCTGGGGCAGTGTGTCCATCTCGTGGAAAGCTCAGGACTCTGCCTTTGATAGCTTTCTTATAGAAGTTAGGAATTCTGACCACCTCCAGGAGACAGTGGTGCATTCCGTGCCTGCGGCATCTCGCAGCTCTGTCATCACCAACCTCAAAGCTTCTTCTAATTACACTGCCCACCTTCATGGGCTGCTTGATGGGCAGTGTGCTCAGATGCTGATGGTCCAAGCAACCACAAGTATTTCCCGTGATGGGTTCTTCACTCTCCATTGAACTTCCTCTGAGGAGCATTCCAAAAGATCACCCGCTACTCATTTTTCATCCTCCTAGTTCCTCTGGATCCTTCTCAAATTTGATAGGGCCACCCCAATCAGGGCTTTAAAGCTTAAAAAAAAAAAAATACTCTCACCCCAAATTAAGGAACTTCAATGTCAACCTCTTTTTCCGAAGTATCCACTCACATCTGGAATTGCTCTTTTTGTTTGTATAGAGTTAACCTGACTTGCTTTGGTTGAACTTCTAAACCATCCTTTCATCTGATCTTGAATAATCGTTTCCAGTTCCATCCAGTATCATCTGCCTGTGGTCTTTCTAATCAAAGTCTGCCTGTGTCATATTCAAAGAGGTGTATGCATGCATTTTTAGTTCCTTGGTCAGAATGTTCTACATTCTCTTTCTCTCCACCGAGATTTTGAAAGTAGTGCCACTAGCATGCAGAGAAAAGACCCTAAAACACAGCCAAAAAACCATCTGAGAGGCCCCAGGTCTCATCTTGTTCTGGAGACTTTTATTTGCCTGCATCCCCTACAAACAGACTGCTCTTTTTGACATTGACTCTACCAAGCATGTTTTGTCATCCACTGATAGCTGTCACAACATGTCAGAGTCTTCCTTTCATCTATCATCTTGTGCAAATCTTGGTGCATGTGATAAACATTCAGAGCATTAAATTTTTGAAAATGTCTGTCTTTCCTGGAAGCATGTCAAGGAATTGTTTCAAAGGGTTAGAAGTGATGAGAGAAAAATGTCCCTAGCTTGCATGGAACACTGACCACCCCTAACTACCATTCTCTTTCTGAGTTTTGTCTTGCATCTCACTTTTCAGCTTGGTGGCACCTTTTGGGAGAGAGCTGGAGGTAAAGCTGACCTTGAGAACCCAGGTCTTATTCTGCATGGTGAATGTGTTAGCATTGCCCGTCTCTGACTGGTAGCATGAGAAGAAACCTAACATGCATCCTTAATTCGGGAAATTGCTTCTACGACAAAATATAGGGCAAACAGAGTCCCGTTTGGAGGATCTTACCTTTGGTGTGGTTAAGGTAACGTGTCAATGCTGTGGCTGAAAATTATAGCATCATTACCTTCTCAAACCAGTTGCTAAGTAGGAAATCCCACACCATTATCTACAGCTATATTCTGCTTCTGAGCCAGATCCTTTTTGTCCTTAGAGACTTAATGACATCGAGTTATGCCATGCAACTGTACAGTTGAAGTTTATCCAAATGAGCCCCTTCTTTCCTCCAAATACTGGAGCTGCAGCAAAATGACTCCCAAGTCCTTGGAAGAAATAGTCTGCTTCCTTCCAACCCTGAATCCTGATGCTAGTACCTCAATCCTCCAGTACTGTTGCCTCTCTCTAAAATACAGTCTGGGTTGAACTTATTTTAATGTTAGTATTATTTGATAAATGTCCATTGAGGAGGCCAGACAATATACATGCCAGTTGAAACTAGCAGTACAGGCCCCTCACATTAAAAATGAATTGCTCTCATCACTAATTGTCTAGACTTTAAGGGTCAAGAGAATCTTAACCCCAGTGGAACTATTCACCTTTCCAAATTATCCAATGAGTGAATTTCCTAATCAGAAAATGCAAGGCCTAACTTCAAGTTTTCCTTTAACTTTTGCATACACCAGAAATTTTTTAATGAAAGCCATTTTCACCTTTACACTATTTAGGGTGAGATGTAGATTTTCCTGTGGTGTATACATTCAGGTTTCTAAATACTGTGGAGAATTTCTCTTATACGGATATTAGCCTTTAATGTGCACAATCCAAATAGATCAAAAGAAGACTAAATAAGGAAACTGCAAAGTAGCATTTTCTAAGGCATGCTCAGTGGAACACCAGCTCCTCGAGATGTTCAAAGGATATTCCTCAAAAAGGGTATCTGTTGATCAATACATTTATGAAATGCTGGGCTAAACAAAATTAAGTAGGTTTCTTTAGAGAACTAGCATTTCAGAGCCTGCTAGCATGCTTTGTAAATCTCTAGAGTGAGATATAATATTCAGTGTTTACCGTACATACTTCACCTTGAAGCTTTCTTTTCTTGAAACATCTTACAGAACTAGCACTCCATTACAAACCTTAGAAAATGTAGCCTTAATACTCTTTAATTTAATCCTATCTACCACTCTAATGGCTTATTCACTTTTCTTTATACATGACAAGCAAATCATCACGTCTATACTTAAAAAGAAAACAAATCCGCACCTGCAGATAAAGCAATATATTCTCTAGCATTGTAACCAATACAGGTGTAGACACGGCCTAATATACTACCTTTCTGCAAATATTTGGAGGCATTGGTACTTTCATATTCTATGGCTACATTCTGAAGAAATCCACTGCTTCCTCTAATAATGTCTCTCTCTCTCTGCCCATGTTCCTTCCCATTCAGAGCCAGAGCCACAGTTGGGCATGCTAATCTTTAGCAATATTACTCCTGACAGCTTCAACGTGTCATGGACCACTCGAGCTGGGCCTTTTGCAAAGATTATTATCAGTGTTAGCAATTTTCAGTTGCTGCATGAGTCCCAGCAATTCACAGTCTCAGGAGACATACAGCACGCTCATGTCACCGGCTTGGTGGAGAACACTGGCTATGATGTTAGTGTGGCAGGGACCACCTGGGCTGGGGACCCCACCAGACCCCTCACTGCCTTTGTCATGACAGGTACTCATTCAAAGGTTCCCACTTGTCTGTTTAGAATTCGAGACGGAGTAAAGCAGGAAAGGTGATAGGCATCCTAAGGGGAAATTCGATCCAAAATGCAATCTTCACTCTGTGTATAAAGGTCTAAGAGAAGAGAGAACAGATACTATTGCAAGAGGGATCTTTCACAGCCACACTTAGGAAATGGAGACAGTGTACTCAACAGTTGTATAAAGCTTCCCGGGATTTTCATGCCCAGTTTTATAGGCTGTCTGATCCAGAGTTTGGAGATTCAGGCTAAAGAGTGAGTTCCACGTTAACAATGGCCTAGGGCAGGAATTTTGACCATAAATCATGCTAGGTAAGGCAGTCCATAAACTATCTGCCCCACAAATACAATAATTTGTCTTTTTCTTCTAAAAAATACATCTTCTGAAAATTGACATCTACAACAGATTAATGAAGGTTCAACCTAGGATAGCAGATAAATCCTAAGTTTACTTAAACTGTACCCATTCATTAAACTTGACTTCTAACTTCTCCTTGAATTACATAAAGAAATGGTTTTGTATTTTCTTTCCTGAGATTATCCTAAATCAATGGCAAAGGCTGCAAATGGTGTTGATTTACTAAATCTCTAGCCTGAAAAACCTCAGAGAATATTTAGAAGTCTCTTGCCTTCCACTAATGATAACTTTCAGGAGACTGACTTTGCCATCCAATTCTCACATTAAACCAGGCCTCTCCCAGGGTCTAAATTGCTGTAAATAAGATGACTTAATAAGTTCAATCAAGTTTTTAATTGGAGGCACCATGGAGTCTTAGAAGAGTGAAGATCTTGAGATCAAGCTTGAGTGGTTTCTAATCCTCTCGCACATCTTTTTTGCTATATAACTTTGTCCTGTTCTTAACTGCTCTGAACCCCAATTTGCTTATGTATAAAGAGAGGATACCCACAGGTATCTCTGGCAATCTTGTCACAGGGATTAAATGGATATGATGAAATTTAACTGTGCGGCATCCAGTAGGCATTTTATAGATCCTGGGTCCTTTCTTCTGTCTTCCAACAGTATGCGGAAAGTGGTGTTCTTAAAAATAAGCAACAAGCCTAGATAGAAACAATAGACCTATGCAATCGTGACTTTCCTATTATTTTTAAGAGAATACTGGGCATGTTTTAATGTGAGATCAAAAGTGGGTATATTTCCTGTCCAGTTATCTAATGTGAATTCAATCATTCAGGCAGTCTTCAAATGCAGAACAAGGTAATTACTTAGTGGAGCATAGGGAGAAGGGCGGAGGTAGCCGTGACATGAGAATCTCACTGCCCAGGAGGGGAGGAATGGCTGGCCACAGATCCCATCAGGCCTTTACTTGTAGCCTCTTGCAGGACCTCCCACAGAACAGAGAGAAGAAAGGGAGGTTGGGAGAGCTGGTCTTGGGAATCCTAGATCCAGTTACAGCATTGTCTCTGCTAATCCTTGAAGTGAAAAGACTCTGCGTTTTAAAAGAGGCATATTAAAAAAAGAGAAAAAAAAAACCTGAACATGAAGGACTATAAATAACAAGCCCTTGATTGACTAATTAGTCTGAATGCCTTGTTTTTCATCGGAATTTGCTGCTTTGATGGTGTGGAGGTACAAAGAGACCACCTATCAAAGAGAGACTCCACTTCTCTAAACAAAACTCTGCAACAGGATTTGAGACCCCTGTCTTGCAGACAAGGAAGCCTGTTTGCACAGTATATGTGATTTCATCTTTGCCTTTGATAGAGTTATGATTTGGGGAAGATCTTTACATGGTAAAAAAAATGCCTCAAAATAAACACGAAGTGTTTCAAAATAAGTACAGGAAGTCCAAGACACAGCAAAATTTAAATCTCTGCTCAGGGGATGAGAGCATTCATTCACTTGTTCATTCAGTCACCAAACATTTCTTTTTAAAATATTTTTCTTTACATCCTGTGGATTAAACTCTGGGCATTAGTGTAAGGTTATTTATCTCTTTGAAAGTTTCCATTTAGCTGCAATGGAAAAGAAAGCTTTAAACCAGATGCAGAGAAAGCAGCCTTGGCCATGGAATTCCCATCCCCATGCCCCTCTGATAAAAAGTAAATACTTTCGCCATTAGTGTGTTTTGTTTTACTGGAGGGGAGATGCTGGACGTTCTCCACTAATCCTGCTTATGTCTCAGAACTTGCCAGCACTGATGGGGTTGACTAATTAGACGTTGGCATAGGGTATGGAAAAAACATTGGACTTGGAGTCAGATGGCCCAGGTTGGATCCCTCCTTAGCCATCTAGTAGCCATGTGATCTTGGTTAAGTCATTGACCTCTCTGTTTCCTTAGATGTCATGAGGGTAAGGAAGCAAGTAGCTAAATCTACTTTATAGTGTCATTGTGGAGATTCAATAGGATAATGGACATGAAGCCTTGTCAATTGGGAAGTATTGACAGAAACTTAGCTAATAGAAGCTCACTTTTTTGGGGAATCCCAATATGTGAAAAGACTTCTTGGCACCTAAGAAATAAGAGTGCCTGAGACACAGATGTTTGGTGAATGAATGAACGAATGATGATGACAGAACTTACTAAAGATCTAGACATGTCCTTATCTCCTAACTTTATCCAGGAAAATAAACAGCAAAAGAATTAGCAAATCTTGGTATGCCTAACTGGGCCATAACCTTAATTTGTCCATTTGAATGCATGAAAAATCTTCCCTCTTCCCTTTATCTCAGCTTATGAAAATGTATGTCATTAATTGGCCTAATCAACTTGATACAAAATGTGAGCTAGAGGTGAAATAGAAACATATGAAGTATACCGAAAGGAAGTATATTTGCAAAAAAAAAAAGGAAAAAGGATGATTTCCTTCAAGACCAGAAGACAGTGGGAAGTAGAGAAGGAGGTCCAAACTCAACAGAAGATATCCAACCTTATAGGGAAAAATTCACTGCCTTTGCAGTGAGACCCAGCTAAAAACCTTGCTCTATCGCATTCTGCCTCTGTAACTTTGGCCAAGGCCATCAATCTCTTTGAAACTCAGTTTTCTTACCTGTATAATGGGAATAATATCTATCTCATAGGCTTGTTAAGAGATTTATACAAGATAACATCATCTGGCACCCAATAAGCTCTTACTAAATATTCATTTCTGAGCATATAACGCATTTAGTGATTGATTGGGTATCTATCAGTGTTCGTGGAGACTTGTGCTATCCTAGCAGAGTCAGTGCTGCTAACCTGAGTTATTTTCACCCTTCCCTTCTTTCAGAGGCCCTGCCCCTTCTGGAAAACCTAACCATTTCCGACATTAATCCCTACGGGTTCACAGTTTCCTGGATGGCATCGGAGAATGCCTTTGACAGCTTCCTAGTAACGGTGGTGGATTCTGGGAAGCTGCTGGACCCCCAGGAATTCACACTTTCAGGAACCCAGAGGAAGCTGGAGCTCAGAGGCCTCATAACTGGCATTGGTTATGAGGTTATGGTCTCTGGCTTCACCCAAGGGCACCAAACCAAGCCCTTGAGGGCTGAGATTGTTACAGGTATTTTGATTCAAGTGAGCCATTTTTTCCTCTTCCCGGTTCCCTTCCGTGTAATCCATCTACCAGATCACCATGGTTTTAACATCCTTGTTCATGTTCTCTACTTAATCCATAGATGTGGCCTGTTCTTTTGTGTTCCCCCCAACACTCTCCCTCATCTTATGTCTCTAATGAGCATGCCCCTTCTCCCACTCCAGAAATGAGAAGGTCAAAATGTTTCCACTTGGTGTCCCAAATCTTTTAGACCATGTCTTGTCCGTAGCTCTTATGTGCTTACTCCATGTCACCCTCCTCTGTGTTCATCCTGGCTGGTCCTCAGCTACATTTCAGCCTTCTCAGAAGAAATATACCAGAGAGTATATTTCAAAAACTTTTTTACAACATTTGCCATCTCTAAATTTCAAGTGTGATCTTGATAAACTTACTAAGTGGGCTTGTCATTGGAAAGCCAACTGTGAACTTATTATATTGGTAAACACTAATATCATAGAGATTCTTCAACACAGACTAAATCCATAATTTTCTCAACTAATAATTCCTGGAGAAATATGGCATTAACAACTTTAACAGTCAAAAATCTGTGTTTCCCAAAGTCTTTCTAGAGATTGCTAGCTCCATAGAATATTCAAAGGGCTTACTTGGTGAAGAAGTTCCATGTTCAAATAAGTTTTGGAAACACTGAGTTAAACATCGTTTAATAGGACCCTTGACCACAAGCTTTACAGAACATCCTAATGTGTATGTGCCTCTTCAAGAGGGACTTACCCCAGCAATATTTCCCAAACTTATTTGACAATGGATACCTTTTAAGGAAGAGGATCAAACAGGAGTAGTTTGCTCTAAGTACACTTTGGGAAACTCAGGTCTAAATTTACCTTGACACTGAGTTTTGTCTAGTTAAGGCAATCCAAGATAATACCTTGAGTCCAAAGTATGTCACACAGGAGGTTCCAAGCCTCAGTTCTACCATCTGAACACTCATCTAATCGTTAAAAAAGGCAAGCAAGAAAGTCAAGAGTAGGAGCCTTTTTTAGTAAAACAGCTCCAAGAAAAAAGCAAAAAGACTATAACATTTATAACAGTTTAAAAGCCATTTGCTCAGGATCAAGGGAAATATAATCAGCAGTATCATCATGGGCAGCTCTACAGATCGTTAATGCTGGTTTATTTCTCTTTTCAAAAAGAAAAGAAAAAGGTCTCGCAGAGGATGGGCACTTGGCCACTGGAAGACAGAGAGCAAATGTAAACAAGTTACTGGCTTTGAACTTGTTTAATAATGCATGGGAGGGGCCAATGCTGAGTCCAGATGTGGATTTATAGAATTGCTTTTAGACAAAACTCACATATGCAAGCATCCACTTGGCTCGTATTGAATGTGTCAACTCCATCTGTCCCCTCTCCTAAACCTACTAGACTTGTTTGTGTTGAATAATTTTATTTTCGGTATCTCAGGACACTTCTATCTCTGAGAGCTGGGGCATCACCACATATTGATAACCCCACTGGAAAGAAGATTGCACGGGCTGGTAAATAATATTCTCTCTCCTCCTTCCACCATTTTCTTCCCCTCTAGAAGCCGAGCCAGAAGTTGACAACCTTCTGGTTTCAGATGCCACCCCAGACGGTTTCCGTCTGTCCTGGACAGCTGATGAGGGGGTCTTCGATAATTTTGTTCTCAAAATCAGAGATACCAAAAAGCAGTCTGAGCCACTGGAAATAACCCTACTTGCCTCCGAACGTACCAGGGACATAACAGGTCTCAGAGAGGCCACTGAATATGAAATTGAACTCTATGGAATAAGGAATGGAAGGCGATCCCAGCCAGTCAGTGCTATAGCAACAACAGGTACCGTACATAACCAGGACAGAACAGAGAAAAGTCATGACTTGGGGATCTTCTTCTCACAGGGATGGGAAATACAAGAGATTTGGATACAGGCAAGCTTGCCTTCAGATCCTGGCTCTTTTGATTATAGACTGAGTGACTGTGGACAATTTGACTAAGTCTTTGTGCAAAAAATTATGATGCCATTTACTTAATAGCATTGTGAGGATTAAATGACATAATTCATTGAAAGCCCATAGCAGGGGGTCTGGCACATAGCAAGGACTCAGCAAATGAAAGCTATTAACAGTTTCATTATTGTCATTAATCATCATCATCGTTACAATTATTGCATCTTTAAAATTCCGAACACCCTTCCTTCTACCTATTATCTCATCATCTTTTATCCAAAGATACACTTCCTTGTTCTTTGGTCAAAGTTTCAAACTATACTAGGCAGGGATAATGGAGAAGTGGTACTTCCACCTATAAAAATCAACATTTATAAGATGCTATGTGTGAATAATCAGTACCGTGATCAGGAAGGGAAAAAAGAGGAAGCTGGTAAGGTTAACAGGCTGCGCTTCATGAAACTCACTAATTTTATTCAATACTCATAGCAACTCGAAAAGGCACTAGAGGGAGAAATGAAAACCCTGTTCCACATTGAGTTATTTCAAGGAGGAAAAAGAAAGATAATGAATAACGTGACTCTTGAGAATAATAATACTAAGACTGACATGACTCTTTAGAGGGAAAAGGAAAGACTTACAACAGGTGGGGTGAATTCTTTCATGAAACTAAGGGAGGTGGAGAAATAGCATTCGCTAGAGATGGCTGCTTCAAAAGGAACCAGAGGAAAGAACCACAAAATCCCAGGGAGAGGTAGAAGCAACCTGAGAAATGATGTAGCCCAGCCTTTTCTGTTTGTGCATGAAGAATCTGAGGCCCAGAAAGGTTAAGTGACTTGCCTAAGGTCACACAGCCAGATTTGGAGTAGAACCCAAATGCCGACTTATTTTAACACTATTAAATATTAGCAGGCTGGATGACGGATAACCAATGAACATATATACCTGCCATCTCTGATGGGCATAGAACGTAACACTAGCCAAAACATTCTCCTCTTTGTCCAGAGATGGATATTTTATCATGTAAATTTCAGGACATAATGAGCTCCTAGAAGCCACTTATAGAAATCATAATCAGTATCTGTAGACGGGGAGGGAATGCTGAGTCCAGGCAGCAATTCAGGCAGGGGAAAAACCCTGTTTCTCATTAACTCAGACACCCTATCCCTGGGATGTGGGTCCTGTCTCCTCCTCCCTGTGGCTTCCCATAAAACAACTGGAGATCAGAGGCAGAGCCTGATTCTGACCTTGGTATATAAACACTGGTTTTCAAAGTTAACTTCTGATCACTGATTTTGTTTTGCTGATCTTTTTTTCTAGAGGCTCTGCAGTTCTAAAGCAAAAAAGAGAATGAATAATCACGAGTTTTTTTTTTTTTTTTTTTTTACACGAACAAAAGAAAAGAAACAGCAGACCCTGCTGTTTCGGAAAGCCCCTTCTTAGATTTCTTTCTCTGAGGCTTTGTAGTTCACAGCAAAGAAGTGTGTGTGTGAGTTTGCACGCATGCATGCATGCACATGTGTGTACCCATGTGTGCCTGCCTGCCTGTGCTCCGGGCAGGACAAGGGAGGAGACTCTTGAACACAGCAGACAGTTGCCTAATTTCCACCTTCCCCTCATCAGCTTTATAAAGTCTCCCTTTGCCTTCCTCCTCCTCTCTTCTCTCTTTCCTCCCTTGCACAGTTGTCAACTCTTCCCCGTGATGTTCTGTTCCTCTTATTCTTTATAAAAGCTTCTGCAGCTCCTCCTCTCACTCCAAGTGCCTCTCCCTGTGCACAAGCTTCCAGCCCCAAGGGTCCCAGGTGACAGAGAGTGTGGGTAGAGGCAGCGGAGCCTAGTGGTTACGCCTGCAGCCTCTGGGTGGATTCCTTGGAGTCGAATATTGACCACACCTCTTACCAGCTGTGTGATCTTGGGCAAGTCTCCTTTCCTCTCTGAGCCTCAGTCCCTTCATCCGGCAAATAGAATTGACCTCAAAGGCCAGCCATGAAGTTTAAATAGGATCATGAGTGCCAACTACTTAGCAGAGTTTCCTTACCCATTGCAACAATGTTAGCTATGATTATATTTGGGGGATTTAATGTAAATTTTATTTTTAATGAGCTCCTTGGTTCAAAATTCAAAGTCAAAAAAGGACATACAGTGAAGTCTCTATTCTACTGTGTCCCTGCCACCCAGGTGCTCTGTCTAGAGACAGCCAATGTCACCACTTTCTTCTGGATCTTCCAGAAATATTCTATACAAATAGATAAGGGTGGTCGACACGCTTTAACTCACTGAATCACTGTGACTCAGCCAGACCAAGTGACTGCCACATTTAGCCCTATGTCACAGATGTGGAAACTGAGACCTAAGGGGCTGAGGTGTTTTTAGCTAGTAAGGCCAGAATGGAATTCAAACCCAGGTCAGTCTTACTCCAAGATCCTTGCTCCTAAACCACACTGGCTATAAGAGCTGTCCTCTTTGTTTAGCATAGGACGTGACACATATTAAGCGTTCAGTAGAAATATGTTGAAGGGAAAATAATTTTTTAAAAATGGTTGCCAACAGCCACATAATTAAAGACATTTGCTCCAAAGTTGGGGAGGCAACTTTTTATGCAGAGAATGGATAGAAGCCCTGTTGAGAGTTTCGAACAATTCTGGATGTTTCCCTAATGGAGTTTTTATTGAAAACCAAGAGTCTACCTGGAAAGAGAGACAGAGATATTGCCGTGCCTTGGTCTCCCCAACTTTTCAATGGGGGTGATTTAGTTGCTCCGTGAGGCTCGGTCTCCGAGCTCCCATTGGCCACCTCCTCTGCTGTGGTGCTGGAGACTGGGGGACCCTATTTATGGCAGAAGGAGACATGCTAAAGTAACAAATAGTCTTCCACACCTAGGAAGGTCTGCTGTCCCAAAGTATCACACCCGTTGACCCTGGATTCCACCACCACTGTGCCATTCCTTCAGGTTACACGGGGCTATCTTCCTGCTGCCACTTTATCAAGCACATTCTCTGGAGTGCGTGATGGATGAGGCTACTCATTCTTAAGGTTTTTAAGACAGGGCTTAAATATTGCCATTTGCAGAAGAGGAAACTGAGATCTAGAGGGGAAAGCTGTGGCCACAAGATATACCTTTCACTGTGCCGAGACCTGCACCAGTGGCATTTTCAGTCAGAGTGAAAGTCAGAGTGGACCAGCTGGCAGCAGGAGAGACTCACTGCCTGAGTTTACACACCTCACTGGGTTTTTTTCTCAGCTGGCCTCTTCTAGATCTTTCCTGGGGGCTACTTTAAAATCCGGGATGGCCCATGGTAGAAAGAGTCACATGGGAAAGAAAATATAGACAAGGCATTCGTGTTTACTGAATTCCTACTGCATGCCAGATTCTGTGCTAGGGGTTTTACATCCATGATCTCTGCTAATCCTCCAAACATTCCTGAAGATGGGCACCACTTTTCCCAACAGATGAGGCTCGCGGAAGTGAAGGAACCTGCCCCGGGTTGCTCAGCCTCTCCGTGGTATTTGGACAAACAAGATCTTTCAGGCTCCAGATCCTTGTGGTTTCCAAAGCTTTCCAAGGGGAGGGCAAAACCCCGGCAGCCACCGAGTCTGAGGGTGGCTACCAGGTCGCAGGAGAAAGAGAAAAAGACAGAGATGGAGAGAAAAAAATCCTCCCCCAAGTGGGCTGTGGGTTTCAGAACTTAATGATCAACGTGGGTTGGAGAGGGGAAAAGATGAGGAACTGAGCTCCGTGGAGACCTGAAAATTGTTTCCTGAGTTCTCTGGTTAAGTGTGGTCAGCTGAAGAGGGCAAAAAGCTAAGCCAAAAAATACACAGAGAAAAGCCAAAGGAAACTGGGTTCCAGGGGAGGTGTTTACGTAGCAGAAACTACCCCTGGGGCCTGGCTTCCCTGAAGGTAGACCCAACGTCCACCGGGTGTGGGCTTTGGTGATGGGTCTGAGGTTGCTCTCCTGGCTCTGGACCTCTATCCAGTTCTGGGAATGGGTTTGTTGAGGTTAGTTTCCATATGAACGTTATTTCCAGGATCCTGGGGCTGTGTCAGCTCTGCTGCCCAGTCCTGGGGCCCAGAAAAGTTGCATCACGAGAATGTTCATTGGATATCCGAGCCTCAGTGTACTCCTCTATATAATGGCTACAACCAAACCTTCTTCTCTGGGGTTTCCAAATGAGGATTAATTCTTAAAAATTGCAAAGAACTGTACAATTGTCAAGTCTTGGTCATTTAAAAAAGGAACTAGAAAGCAAAGATTTGAAAAAATGCTAAATTTAAAAATAAAAGGAGGATGTATTGTAAGGCGTGAAACCATTCACCCTCACTTCCTTAGAAGCCAGCTGCGGTGTTAACATTCTCCTTGAATGAAACCAAATGGCTGTTCTACAGCCCTGAGCCCTGTACCAGAACGAAAGAATGATTGTTTCTATCAAGTCACAGCTTGACCACAGATCACCACACTCTCCATCTCAAAGGCTTGGCTTGGACACAAACTCTAGGGGCTGAGTTTTCCTGGATAAAGAATCCAGGAAGAATCATTGATGAGCAAAAGAGTTGACTGTTTCTGGGTTTCTCTTGCGCTTTCTCCCTAACAGCCATGGGCTCCCCGAAGGAAATCATTTTCTCAGACATCACTGAAAACTCCGCCACTGTCAGCTGGATGGCACCCACTGCCCAGGTGGAGAGCTTCCGGATTACCTACGTGCCCATTGCAGGAGGTAGGGAGCTCAGAGAGGGGAGGGGGCAGGAACCTGGAAGGTTTGGGTGGAGTAGCGAAAGAGACTCTGATAATTCTGTCCTCCCAAACATCATGGCCAAAGAAAACTACTTCCTTATATTTGAGACGATCTGGATAGACTTCATTTGTAAAGTATTATGAGACCCTTGGAAGAAACTGCTTTATGAAGGGTCATTATATGAAGACCTTTTCCAGCCTTGGAATTCTAAACTTCTATGAGAACTAGATCTCCAACATTGTTTTCACACAATGACATAAGACTAAATACATTGGCCTGCTTCTCTTTGGGCTTACTCATCTGAAAGCTGGTCTTGACCTGCATGTGTGTGAGGCTTTGCATTTGGATCCCAAAAATCTGTCTGTGTCAGTATAGGATGGGGAGTTGTGACTTAGTAGAGTTGGGAGTTCTATTTCAGAGCGCATGGGCTATAATAGAGACCATGAGGAAAATCTGTCTAAAAACATTCCAGCAGGTAGTAAGCTCCCAGTTAGAGGAAGCATATACAGAAAGGATGGTTCATAACCTCTTCAGAGGAATGCTGTAGCATCTCTATGGGGAGTTTGACCAACTGATGTACAAGCTCCTCACCAGCCCTGAAATTCTAAGAAATATAAATTTTGGTCTTTTTAATAAATATAAGAGTACAAATTTGACTATGACCATCTTCTTTTCTTAAATAGTAGAATCTCTGCTACTAAGGGAGTCTGTATTTCCCTAAGCTAAGACAATGGGTTAAATATATCAGATATACATTACATAGTAAGCTTCCCATATTCTATGTGGGAAAATTAAATAAAATTCGCACAACAAGCTAGCTCTCAACGGAACGGAAACTTGTCGTTTTTAGCACATTGTGACTTCATGTTTTTTCCTCTCCTGGCCTAGTTTTTGGCATCTGCTCGGATGGAAAAAACATTATGCAAAAAGTAAGACCTTTTCTCTCATGCCAGAGGGTAGCAGCAAAGGAGAAGGAAGTCAAGAAAATGGTACTGGATAAAGATATAGTTTCGTTTCCAAATCGGAGACACCCATTCTTGGGGCAACAGTAAGTTTCAATGGGGTTCGCCATTCCTGATTTTGATTTTCCTGTGTTCCAGGTACACCCTCAGAGGTAACTGTGGATGGGAGTAAAACTCAGACCAGGCTGGTGAAGCTCTTACCTGGGGCCGAGTACCTTGTCAGTGTCATCGCCATGAAGGGCTTTGAGGAAAGCGAACCTGTCTCCGGATCATTCGCCACAGGTGTTTATCCCACCGTCAGCATTATTGCGCATGATTCAGCAACTGGAACAAAGTTTCCATGTAGTAATATTCTAGTAGAAAGTGGACTGGATTTGGAGCACCAGAAGCCTCATTTCCAGCCCATCCCGGCCTCCTGTGAGCTGGGTAACCTTGACTCCATCCTTAACCTCCCCGGGCCTCTGTTTCCTTGGGTAGTATGGAGGAAGGAGGCCAAATCTGGGAGTCACACTGAACTGAGTTGAAATTCCAAGTCTATCACTTCTAGAGACATGAGCTGTCAGTTAATTTCTCTAGAGTCTAGTTTCCTTCTCTATAAAATGGGTGCAATTCTGCTTGCTGTGCAGGGGGCTGTAAGAATCACATGAAACTATGCGTGTAAAACATCTGTAAATGTAAATGGCTCTACACGTTAATCTGCCTCCTTTCCTTCCCTGCCTAGTGCTGGGACCATGGTGAGGCTCCTTCCAGGGAGGGGCTGCCCGCAGACAAGGAATGGTGACAAGCAATAAGGAACGACTCTCTACTGGGCAGCTACTGTGTTCCAGGCACTGCTACTAAACTCTCCCCCTGTCATCCCCATAGCTGTTGTCATTCCCATTTTACAGAGGAAACAACTGAGACCTGGGTAAATTAAACACCTCGGTTAAGACCACATAACTAGTAAATGCAGGGAGCCAGTGTGAGCTTAAGTCAGTCTAACTCCAAACTCTGTGTTCTTCTAAAATAAGGGATTATCTTCCTGTTATAACCTGATTTGTACAGCACACTGTAAAGAGGGGAAAATAATGAATTGCATTGAAGGAGAATGAAGTGGAAAATTTCTCTTTAGACAGCCATGTCTCTAAACAATTTATCCTTTGATATATGAGCAATTATCCAGCCTAATCCATTAAGGGATCCAAAGAATGGGCCTCACAAGAAATTTTAAAAATATCCTAATAGTCTCAAAGAGTTGATAACATGCAATTAAAACATCCCATCTGAACCCAGAGTCCTGTGCACCCTACCACACAGGCTGTTTTCCTCCAAAGAAATCTTTCATTTATGGATTCTCCATGGCAACAGATTGCAAAAGCTGGATGCATTTCCTCTGGAGGCCCCCCATTGTCCTCCTCCGTTAAAGGACATTCTGGACAGACATGATGAAGCAGGAAGGAACTCAGAGTGGGTGGACGATGTGGGCTCCCAAAATTACTCGGCCACCTCCTGACTCGCAGGCCAGTCGTTTCGTCTCTTGAGGTCAGGAGCCTCATCTGCAAAATGAGCTGATGACAGCTGCCCTCCATCCTCCCAGGGCTGTCGTCCTGGAGTAATTGAGTCATAAATGTGAACGTTAAGAGGGAAATAATCATATTTAGGTTAGTTTCTAGGAAAGAGATGCTGAGTAGCAGCAGTGGTTGGTTAAAAGAACCAGGACCTTGTAAACATCCATCCTTTCTCAGTACATTTGGAAATCAGATCTAAGACTCCAAATAACTTTAATAGTCATATTAATAACAACTGCAATTATTGAGCGCCACCCCTAGCACATTTCACACACATCGTCTAGTGCATCTTTACAGCAGCCACACTTTGACAAGTGAAGAAGTGAGGTTTGGAGAAGGGAAATGACACAAGGGCACAGACACTAGACAGAGAAGCCAGCGTAGAACCCAGGACCACCGACCTCCGGAGCCTGGCTCCATGTTATCTCCAGGCCACCTAACAGAGCTATTGCTCAAAGCCCAGAAAAGCTTAGGGCAGCCTTCACTCTGCAAACCTCCTCTGTTTTTGTAAGTTCTTTCCCTGGGGAAAGTGACAGGAACTGTAATGATAATCCTTGTTATGTGTTCAGCCCTTTCCAGTTTATACAGCACTTTTCCATCTACAATATCATGTGAAAATCAAAATAACACTGAGGATAAAGCCAGACAGAATTATTATCCCCATTTTACAGGTGGGGCAATAGAGACCCAAGGTAACCTAGCCAGCAAGGGAAGGAGTCATGCCTCAAACCCAGGCCCATCCTGGCTCCAAGCTCAGGACCCTGCACCGTCCATGCAGCGGACACAGTGTCCCAACACCGGGAGTCCAGGAGCAGTGTACACAGCAGAGCAGCTGTGGTCTGAGGTACTACCCCATGATCGCCTATCTCTCCAACACATCTCCATCTTTCTTTGCAGCTCTGGATGGCCCATCTGGCCTCGTGACAGCCAACGTCACCGACTCAGAAGCCTTGGCCATGTGGCAGCCAGCCATCGCCCCTGTGGACAGTTACATCATCTCCTACACGGGGGAGAGAGGTAAGGTCATGTCCAACATCCTGCCCACCTGAGGAGTGTCTGTCCTGCTGTAAACTCTTCCCATTGTCCCTTCTCCGTGCCACATTTGGTACAAAAATGCATGAGTGGGTTGTAAGGCCAGCAATATCCTTGTGGCTCTCGATTGCAACCTCAGAATAGACTAATGGGCTGCGGCTGGGGCTGGGTGGGTGGTTGTGGAAGGGCCTAGTCAGGGGCTACAAGAGAGGCCTCATCCGTACTCCTCTGCTTAATATCAAGTGAAAGAGCGTAAACATTGTGGTTCTACCGAGGGCGTCCAGTAGGCCGTTTAAAGAAAGAACAGAGGGTCCATCTCCAGCCTCTACATGTTTCCCTCACCTGTTCCTCATTCCTCCTCTCCTGCTAGTCTCTCTGCCTGTTGCTGTGAGTCACCCTCTCTAGGCAGCAGCTCCTATCTCTTACAAAGAAAATTCCAGAATCCAAAATCTTAAACAGGCTACATCAGGTGGCTCTGAGGAGTCTGGACTTCTCAGATGCCGCAGAGGAGGCCAGTTGTAGCAAATTTGATTGAGAAATCAAAAATTATTTCTCCTGGTCTTTTTAACTTTCTGTGCTAATTTACTCAGTTGGCAGATTAAACACTTGTTTGAGGCACCAGCAAACCACGGCTACCAGAACATAAAATCAAATACAAATGAGGGAGTAGAGAAAGAGAGATTCCTTTTCAGTAAATAAATCCATACATTTGTAATGAACTACTCTAGAAAAAATTAGACTGTTTTAATCCCCAAGCATATGTAAGTTTCATATTTTAGGGTTCAGTATTGTTTTACTTTGAGTGACAATATGAGAGGGCACCATAATCTGTGCCTGGGGCCTCTGAAATATCTTCGTTCAGCTCTGACAACCGCCTAAGAGAGTCCTTTGTGAGGATGGAGCACGCTGGGGGTGGAGGTAGGAGAGAGGTTTGGGTTTATTCCTTTTATTCTTCCATTCTTCAAGTTTGCTCCCTAGAAGAGCAAACTCTTCCCAGTCAGGGAAGATGGTGTTGTCTCACCTAAAAGAAATTAGAATATAGTTCACGGGGATCATGGAAATTGTGGATGCAGGCCTGGCAAAGATCCTGGTCCAGAAGAGGAGGGAGTTCATGGATGATGAGTAGGGGACAAATTTGTCCCAGTTTGCCCAGGACTTTCCCAGTTTTAGCCATATATGTCCCACACCCCGGGAAACCCCTCAGTCCCTGGCAAGCCAGGATGGTTGGTCACCTATGATTAGGAAATAAACACATACCCTTGGACACCATGGTTTGCTGTCGACCATTGGATCTGACCCAGTGGGGCTGAGAGGCTACTAGTAACCAGGCTCTGCTGTGTCTGCTGCCACCAGATCTTTGTAACCTCCCAGCCTCATGATTTGACAACATTTGGCAATTTTTAAAAGGATGTGTAAGTGAAAAAGAGGAGAGAGAAAGCAATGGGACAAATTAAGTTTGGGTGGCCTGAGGCTTGGAGATGTTACCTGCAACTCTCCTCTAGCTGGTTCCTGTGCCCCAGCTACAAAGCTGTCCCAGCTGGCACCATGTGGAAAAACCTGACCCCCAGTTCCCCTTCCCTCTGATTTGTGCCTGGAAAAATCCAGTCTCCATATGATAAATCCTTTGTATATGAGGTGAGTGCTCAAGGGAGAGAAAGGGGTGTGAGTCATTTCAGAAATCAAATTGCTTTTCTCAGGGTCACTGCAAGTTTCTATGTTAGAAGTAGGTGTGTGCGCTGTGTGCCAAGTCTGCTGACGGCTCAGACAGGGAAAGGTAATGGCCTCGGTGTGTGTGTTTCATGTCCAGTGCCAGAAATTACACGCACGGTGTCCGGGAACACGGTGGAGTATGCTCTGACCAATCTGGAGCCCGCCACGGAATACACGCTGAGGATCTTTGCAGAGAAAGGGCCCCAGAAGAGCTCAACCATCACGACCAAGTTCACAACAGGTACAGGACACCCAGAGCTGGAAGATGCCCACCCACACCCTCTGTCTTAAACAGGATCCCTCTCCAACTCTTCCTTCTCAAGTCAGGTCCTTGCAACTTGATGACATCAGCATCAGCTAAATTCACCAGTGCCCACTCAATTAAGACCTCAAGAAACACGCCATTTCCTTTCGAACTGAAATGACCTTGTTCTCCCCAAGGACTAGGAAATGATTTTAAAAGAGGGCTTTTTAAGTGGAAAACCAGTCCCCACTGGCCCTAATGCCAGTATTTAATGATCCATGTTCTAGGCAGGAAATATTTTTAAAAGAAAGATTTTTCAGGCAAGTTTTCCTAGATGTCCATTGGGTTTTTATACATTGAGATCTTTTTACAAACTGCAGCAAACAGGAAAATGAAGGAAATGCCCTCTGAGTAGGGGTGAGCGCCAATACCAGCATCCATCTGTCCTCTTATTTAGAAACAGGGTGAGGGGGGGCGTGTAATTATGTTCACAGCTGTGTCTTTCTCCCCAAATCCAACCAAGGCCCAGCAAGACTATGTTGGGATCAGGGAATTGTTGCCTGTAGGATGAGATGAATCACAGAGAATTTATGTCTTTGGAGGTCGCATGGCTCAAACTCCTCATTCACAGATGGGGAAACACTCTGCCCAAGGTCATATAGGTCAATGGTAGGGAAAGGACCTGAACTCAGGCCTCCTGATACCAAGCTGGGATTTTTGTCTACACTCGCTGACTTATTTGATATTAAATGTCTTATCTTCTCCAGACCTCGATTCTCCAAGAGACTTGACTGCTACTGAGGTTCAGTCGGAAACTGCCCTCCTCACCTGGCGACCTCCCCGGGCGTCTGTCACCGGTTACCTATTGGTGTATGAATCCGTGGATGGTACAGTCAAGGTATCTAGAAGTATATAAACAACTCGCCAGTGCTGCTCGAAACATTTACACGATCCTCCAAGTAGGGAAGAATTATCTGGGTGTGTTTCTCTACCCAGTGCATCTGGGGAGCTGAAGAAAAATTAACAGGGACTGGACGCCATGCCAGACCTTCTGAATCATATGCTCCAGCCTCTCTCATTTTAACCAGACTCCAGTTTTGATAACCAGCCAAGGTCGAGAACACTGCTCACAAGACTTGAGGACATTTTAGGAGCTGGACTCTTTGTCCTTTAATGTTTTATTGTACAAAGGCCAACAGCTTTTCTGCATCTTTGCCATATATATTATCTCACAGTTGGCATCATTCCATTATATATTGAAATATATATCACCACGTTCTTATGACATCAACTGTTAGTACTGTTTATAGAAATTGTTAATGCTATTTATATTCTCTACCCATGAACTTTTCTTCTTTTACTTTTTAATTTGAAATAACTTTAACCTTTCACACAAGTGAAAGAGATTTTCTAAACTTTACCTTCTAAAGTTGTTATTGAATTTTTAATTTCAGGCATCATACTTTATATTTCCAAGATCTTTTACTTATTGTCTGCACATCTACCTTTTTCTAGCATCTTGTTTGTATCTTGTGTGTCATCTTTTCTTTATCTCTAAGAATATATGTTATTGGTATTTTTTTCTACAACCTGCATAGTGGTTTTTTTTTTTTTTTCAAGTTTTTCTTTTCTGTTTCACTACTGCTGTTTGGTTTGATTTGGGTCTTCATCTTTCATGTTGGAGACTTCTGCCCAATGCCCAATAGTCCTTTTGTACCTGAGCCAAGAATGAAATAGCTGACAAGGAGTTCCTATTGCATAGACAGAGCCTGTCAACTAGGGGGTCATCGTAGGGTGAGTCGGCAAGTAAGCAGCAGTTTTACTGGGGGACTTTCAAGTATCAGTACTGTAAGCCTTTTCTTGAGCTAACCAGTCTCCCTGGAGGATCTTCCAACCCCTTCAAACCAGGCTGCCAGGAGCCCAGCTGGAGAAGGAGCCCGGGCTCCCACTGGGTACAACCTTCACTTCTTCACTTCTTTCCAGTGTAGCACCTCAGCCTCTCCCACAGCTGGACCTGGTGGATTTGAATCCAGAGTCTCCTCTCTGGCTCAGCCTCTCCAGAGAGTGAACTTCAGCCTTCCCTCTGGACTGGGAAGGACAGTCCATCAGATTGTTGAGGGATGGGGAGAGCTGGGGATCTGTTTCTTATACAAAGCTTTTAAACAAATCTTAGTTCATCCCTGCCCCACACTGGCCTTCAAAGGCATCTTTGCTTTTGTACACATTCCATTCCTGATCTTGCCGGGCTCTGTGGCATTCATCAACCAGCCTCTGGCTCTGCTCACTTAGTTAATTAGCAACCAGCTTTCTCCACTCTGCCCCCTCTGTTGTCACTCCACCACACACTTTCCATCTATCAAGATTCAGTTGAGATTGCATGCTTGTTTCTGTCTCCTCTGCCATTTCTCCCACCTTTGTGGGTTTATACTTTATATCCCATTACTCTCATTTTAGTGGGTATCAAAAGCAAATAGACATAAACTGCACGTCCAATCCACTATGCTTAACCAGAAGTGGACACGCATTGCTAGTTACTGTCATGGCCATTCCTGGAGTTGGTATAACAATGAATTAACTCAGTGTGTGAATGGAGGCAAGTCCTTTTCACATCTGTAAAATGAGTGCATTGGACTCACCAATCTCTGAGGTCCCTTCCAGGTCAGGCATTCTAGGATTCAGTGTTTACCTGAAGTCATGAGTCTCATTTCGAGTTGCCTTAATTGTCTAGAAAACAACTTTGTACAGCAGCCTAGAGTGCTGCTACGTAATTGTATCCTCAAGTAATTTAATAAGCCCAGCTTTGTACCTGATCCTTCCTCCACAAACCAGAGCTGGGGGCCACACAAAGGTCACTGGGTCACTGGTATCAAATAGGCGCTCACCTCGGTTTACTTTATCCTGTCCAATCCCCAGCTTTCTATGTTTCACTCAAGAAAATCAACCTGGTGTAGGAGGAAAGAGTCCTGGACAGGGTGTTGGGTGACAAGATGCAAGACCACCTTCTGCCACCAACAAATTATGGAGTGAATGCAAGTCTTTGGGCTTCCCTGAAACTCAACCCCCAGCCCCCTACTGGAAAAATCAGGATAACATCACCTGCCCAGTTCTGAGGATGGGAGAGAACCTGCCAGGGGCCTCCACACTGACTCATTACTGCCTAAACCCAGTCGGCTGTGTTTGCTGGCTGTAGAGAGCACTGTTGTGTTTGGTTTACTAGGAATGCAGGCTGAATTCCAATCCCAGAAACCAAGGTCATCTGCTAAAAAGAGATCCCACAGGCATTGGAATCTAGAAAGAGGATTTGAAAAGAAAGAGGATCTCCTGCAAACTGGAACTGACCCCCTCCGGGCAGCAGCACAGTGACCAGCCACAAACTACAAGCGTGGGGAGTTAGACAGGTCTCCCAGCAGCTGCACACAGCTGCCTCCCCTGGACGTCTCTGTTCTAGAAAAGAGACATGCTGGGCAGCTCAAGCCTTCATCATGCCGTGCCTACTGAGCTGTTATAATGGTATTCTGTGCATCACAGTCATCTGGGGAGATTCTGAAATATACACCTGTCCAGGCCCCACTTCTGGCTCTTACAATCCAGTCAGCCTGGGATGGGCTGAGGCATTGTATTATTTAAAGCTTCCCTGAGGGCTGTGCAGACGAGCCTTATTTAGGGACCACTGACTTAACTGGTCTCAAAGTCTAAACTTTTTGTCCTTTGCGTGATTCATCTTGCCACCAGATTAAGCTGGGGTCATGCCATTCACTTTCTCAAAAATCTTTCAGGAATCTCCATTCCTTATAATGAAAAACTTCAAATCTTATAGTCTGGCATTAAAGACCCTTTGTAATGTGGTCTTTGCCAACCTCCTCCACTGCTCCCCCAACTGAAGTATCGTTGAGATAGGTCATTGCCTCCTCGTATTACTTGAACTTGCTCTGCCCTTTCTGGCCCCAGGACCTTTGCTCATGTTGTCCTCTCCCCATCTCTGACATCCCAGAAATGACCATGGAGGCAGACACAGAGTGAGACTCAGTGGATTCTTGTTGAATGACTAAATGAATGGATGGCTGAATAAATGAATTCATCATCTATACCCTGAGGATTTATGTGACCAAAGGCTATTATATTCTTTCTTCTACCCTTAGGAAGTCATTTTGGGTCCAGACACAACCTCCTACAGCCTGGCAGAGCTGAGCCCATCCACCCACTACACAGTCAAGATCCAGGCCATGAACGGTCCCCTGAGGAGCAAGCTGGTGCAGACCTTCTTTACCACGGGTAAGGGGCTTTGGGAACAACCAGGCCTTGAGATTAAATTCTATGAGACTGAATCAACACTGCACTTCTCCTCTGACTGGTACTTTACATTTTTCCATCAAATCTCTGAAAAGGATCAATTCCCTGCCACCACCTGAAACCCCAAAGAATGTGGGGCAGGAGGTCACAGGCCTTGTGGTGAAAAGGAAGGAGGGCCAGTGGTGAGAACACCTGGATTCAATCCCCATCTCCACCACTGGCTCTGTGTAATTTAGGAAAGTTACTTCCATTCTACAAGCCTCAGTTTCTTCATCTATACAATGGGATTAAAAACCATCCCTTCCTCACAAGGACCTTGGGAGGGTCCTGGTGTTGTGTTTGAACTACTGGCCCAGTGTGTGGCCCATTGTCGGGACTTCATATAAGCTCCGTGTCCCTCCTTCAGCATGTCAGTATTTACAAAGCCTGTCCATACTCAAAATCACAAGGAGTCCTCCCACCAAGCTGGTGTGGCAGGCCAGGATTATCATGCCCTGTTTTCTGGTGGGGGAAACAGAGACTCCCAGAGACTAAATGATCTGCTCAAGGCTACATCTTGAGTTAGAGCCAGAGCTGGGCTCAGGGGTTCCAGGACCAGGGAGCCTCCCCCTGTATCCTGCCACTGGGTGTCCTCTGCAGATGGCAAATGTGCAAGTTGTTCCACTGGTGAATAAGAGGAAGCATCTGTGTATCCCAGAGTGCTGAGAGTGTAACAGGTTTATCCCAGCGCTGCCTCCTGCCCCTCACACATCACTTAGTCACTCCACACACACCTGCTGAGGGAGGTACAGAGACAAAGGAACCTCTTAGCCGGATCTCATGCTGGGTGCTGGGAGCACAAAAATACGAGCGTGCCCAAGATGCTCTCAGGCTAGGGCCATGAAATAAACAAGGAAACAGCTAATGATACAACCTCAGGTGAAGATAAAGTGTAGTGAGGAGATCAGATCAGAAAAAGGAACTGCTATGACCATGAGTGCTCCTACCCACCGGCTAAGCACAGCCCCGTGATCGTCCATTTCTACCAAGTTTTTAATATTTTGCATCACAATATTGCACTTGGAAATTCCCAAGCATTCTTGTTTTCCCCCATTAAGATTCCCAGACTCAGAGCAGTTAAATGACTTCTCCAGGGTCCCAAGGCAAGGAAGTGGCAAGTGCAGGACTGGCACCCTTGTCTTTGGTCTCAGAATCCTCTGAAGAGACTGAGATGCACCCAGCCTGATACAGTACCCTTGTCCACAGCCAGCCACCCACTAGGAGCTAGAGACCCAGCCATCCTGGCCAGTACCTGGTGTTCCTCAGGTGTTGCCTGGCTGCTCCAGGTATATCAAGGTCAACCTGATACTCGCCCCTCCAGCAGCTCAGCTCTCCTCCACTGATGTCATTGGCGGCTTCCATCAATAGAAGAGACTGAGATGGGCCCCTTATATCCATCACTTCTAAGCCTCGTTGCACCTCCACAAAATAGGATTATCCCCATCTTGCACATGAGGGAACAGAGCCTTAGCAAGTTTAAGTTGCTTGCCCATAGGCATCTAGCCAATAAACAATTGAGCTGCAATTTGAAAGCTCTGACACCAGACCTCCTGCTCTGAGAGAGTTACTCTTTCTCCTTATCCCACAGTTGGACTCCTCTACCCATTCCCCAGGGACTGCTCCCAAGCCATGCTGAATGGAGACACGACCTCTGGCCTCTACACCATTTATCTGAATGGTGATAAGGCCCAGCCGCTGGAAGTCTTCTGTGACATGACCTCTGATGGGGGTGGATGGATAGTGAGTATCACGGAAATGGAATCCAGAGCTCTCAGGCCTGGGGGAGGGGAGCTGAGGGTGAAAGGCGGAGCGGGGAGGGGTGGAGGTCCCTCCCATGCACTGTGACCCCAATGTGCATGAGGTGTCGCAAGATAGGACCTGACACACGGAGACACTCAGGAACTTTGTTATCTCTTAAACAAAGGAATGGGAGAGAAGCTGGAGATGAAAAACAGGCAAAAATAATGTTCTTGTAATTTATCTCCTCAAACAAGTCTGTGATGTATAAAATTGACAGTGGTCAGCAAATCTATTACGTATATTAATTAGCACTTACTATCTACCAGGCACTGCGCTAAGAATTTTACATGAATTATTTCAATCCTGTTATCATACAAGCTGGGTAGTATTTTTTTTTAACTCATAGACTTTATTTTTTAGAGCAGTTTTAGGTTCACAACAATATTGAGCAGAAAGTACAGCCTTCTCATATACCCCCTGACCCCACAGGCACAGCCCTCCCCACTGTCAACATCCCGCACCAGAGTGGTGCATTTGTTACAAGTGATGAATCTACATTGACACATCATCATCACCCAAAGCTGGGTATTTTTAATCCCTATTTTTCAGGGGAGAACACCAAGGCTCAGAGAGAGGAGGTGACCTGCCCAGAGTCACGTGGCAAATTAGTGACAGAGAGAGCTGGGGACTGGTGTTTTTCCCATGGTCTGATGTTTCTTCCTCCCAGAAAGATGCCTTCTCTTTCCTTCTTAAGTGCACTCAGATTCATGATTATGTTTATAGGTGTTCCTGAGACGCAAAAATGGGCGTGAGGAGTTCTACCGTGACTGGAGGGCCTATGCTACTGGGTTTGGGGACCGCAGAGAAGAATTCTGGCTTGGTAATGCAGCCCTGTGTGTTTGTGTCCAAAATGCCCATTTCTGCCCTCCTTGTCATTTGTCCTAACCCTCCGCGACCTGTGAAAGAGAAATGGATCAGGAGGAAACAATAGCTCTGGTGGTAGACCCAGAATTCCAACTTCTCAATAGAAAGACTTTAAATTCTCTGGGTCAATGAAAATAAAAATCTGATCAAGGGAGAGCCAAGAGCCAGACCTTAAGAACTAACCTAGCCTTAAGTCATTCACTGAACCATTTATAGAATCATCCTCACTGATACCGTTAACTGCTTCCATCCTGGGCTGACATAGGTACCTTGGAGCCATAACCTCTAAGCCTCCTAGCATCCCCACAAGATACAAATCCCCATCTTGACATGGGAAAACAGAGCCTCAAAGAGGTTATGTTGTGTGCCCATTGGCATCTAGCCTATAAGCAGCTGAGCTGCAATTTGAAATCTCCCAAGCCAACCCTACAATGCCATCATCCATCCATCCATGCAAGGCACACTTTCCAACCACCTACCTGCAAAGGGCACTGTCCTGTGCACCAGTGCCTGGGCCTGTGTCTGTCCCATGACCATCCATCGCCTTTCACTTGTAAGGACGTTTATTGTTTAAAAAGTGCTTTCTCCACCTTATCTCCTTTGATCTTCACAATACACTAAGAGGTGGGCGGGCAACCTGATTTTACCTGAGGCTCAGAAACATCGTATATTTTGCCTGGTGTTGCACCAGCAAGGAGGAGTCCAAGCTGCAAGCCCGGGTCTGCGCCACGCAGACCTCTCTAGAGTACACCCAGCCGCTGCTCTTAGAGGGTGGAGTAGAAATGATGGCCCCAGTCACTTGTGCCTCTTCAGCAACCTTGCCTGTCATCCACAGGGCTGGACAACCTGAACAAAATCACATCCCAAGGGCAGTACGAGCTCCGGGTAGACCTGCGGGACCACGGGAAGTCAGCCTATGCCGTCTACGACAGGTTCAGCGTGGGCGATGCCAAGACGCGCTACAAGCTGAAGGTGGAAGGGTACAGCGGGACGGCAGGTACAGCACAGCCGCACTGCCAGCCTCTGAACCCACAAAACCCTTCTTGTTCCTCGACCCATCATTCCTTCCTTCCTGAATCCATCCATTTATGGGATCAGCAGATACCTGAGTTCCTACTGGGTGCTAATCCAGAGGATCTGCCATTGAACAGAATCGGGCAGACATCTGGGTCATGGAAACAGAGCAGGTTGGGAATCAGGACAATCAGGACCTACTTGTAGCTACTCTTGCTCAAAAAAATATGTCTTTTTCTTATCCATTTTTAGATATCTGTTTTAGACTGAGAGAAAAACGGTCTCTCAGGGGCCTTAATACTCATCTGACCCAGTGCCTCTCAATGTATTACGTGCGTGTGACCCACTGGGGATCCTGCGAATGCGCAGGTGCTGACACAGCACATCTGGGGTGGAGTCAAGATTATGCATTTCTTATAAGCTCCCTGGTGATGTCACTGTGGGTGGTGTCGCTGGTCTGTGGGTCGCACTTTGACTAGCAGACAATCCGCTCCATCACTCAGCTGCTTGAATCTCTTCTTAGACATCTCTGCCCCATGCCCATCCAGCCTCAGCCTGCATGGCCCCGTGACCAGAAGCTCACTAGCTCTCAATGGTCCTATCATTCCTTGTCTGGCACATAACCTAGTTTAGGTCTTCAAGATTTCTTTGACTTGCAATGGCCTTTGTGTGGTATTCTGGCTCCACCTTAGAGGAGAAATAAATAAGGAAATGATATGCATTCAGGCCGACTGGGAAGCATCCTCTTTTGCAAATATTTCAAATGCATCACCCCCATTTAGCTCTCACAAAAATCATTCCAGGAAGATATTGCTGTTATTCAGATGAGGAAACTGAGGCTCTGAAAAGTTTGGTAATTTGCCCAAGGTGAAACAACTCATGGAAGGCAGGCCCAGGGTGCAGGCCTGGCTGAGACAGACAGTCTTGGTAACAAGGCAGGATCAAGCCTGAGAGTGTGACCACCCGTGCCACCCATGCCCACTTTGGGGTGCCTTTCAGTTATGTTTCCCAAAACAGAAGAGACAGATGCTATGGTACATTTTTAACCTCTCTGAGCCCTGAAAGAAAACGTTCATAAAAGTGAAAGTCTCCAGTCTTCCAAAAGCCAGGCTCGTCTAAGGAGGGACCGAGCTCTTTCGAGATCAGTCTGGTGGTAATGAAAAGACAGACCCAGGGGCAAAAATTGTTTTCGTTCTTGCATCCCTCAAAGAATTCTGACATTTTGTTACCTGCCAGTAAATACCTCTTTTGTTGAGATGGCTTCAGGCAGGAAGGATGTTATTACACAGTAAGCAAAGGCAGGAGCAGCAGGAATGTGGCCTCGACCCGTCTCTGTCTGTAATTCCGAGGAGAGAATGAGCCATAATATGTCTCTTCAGTAAGATAAGCCTTGTAAGGCTGTGTTCTCCTGTGTGCATTGGTGGCGGCCAGCCTTCCACAGCAGAGCATCTCATTCCATCAATATCTACCTGCCATCCTCAGTCAACAAGGCACCTGAGTCCCTTTGACAACTGTTCAAAATATCAGGGTAGAAGGCCTCAGCAACTTGAAATTTTTATGCATAAGATTGGCCAGGATTGGGAGTGAGGGGGACACAGAAAGAAATGGCACTTAAATGCTCCTAGAATTCAATATATTAAATTACAAACTAAACACTCAAATAGCACTATATATAAATGGGCTTCTTGTCTTAGAATCAGAAAACACTGGTCCCATAGACACTTTGGCAAATAACTACACGATACACAGGCTACCTGGTGACATCTAATATCTGAAGAGTTTGATTATAAGTATGGCTCTGAAGACTTGAATTTTGGGGAAAAGCACGCCATTATTAAATGCAGATTTCTTACCTTACTCTGTGAGCTCCTTTGTGGAAAGGAAATGCAAAATAACATCATAAAAATAATGACAATCATAACTATTTGCACACGACTCTACCTTCATATCCATTGTCCCAGCAGCACTCTGAGGTGGGGAGAATCAACGTGCTAGTTCCATTTTGCAGATGAGGAAACTGAGGCTCAGAAAGAGGCTTGACTTGTTCAAGGTCACAGCTAGGGATTGAAAGAGGTGGGACTTGAAGCTGGACCCTCCAAAGCCACCTGCAACCTTCTTTCTACCACATTATGCTGGGTCTATCAAAAATGAGTCCTTGGGGCGACACTCATGTCCCATCCAGGCCTGTGTCTGATCCTAATTCTGGGTCCAATATTCAAAGCTGGCCCACCCCAGGATCTTCTCTGTTGTCACCCCTGGTTCTCTGCCCTTCATGGCCCACAGGAAACTCCAGGTGGGATTTCTCAGTCCATGCTTTCTCTCTCTCCCAGGTGACTCTATGGCTTATCACAATGGAAGGCCCTTCTCCACCTACGACAAGGACATGGACTCAGCCATCACCAACTGTGCCCTCTCCTACAAGGGGGCTTTCTGGTATAAGAACTGTCACCGTGTCAACTTGATGGGGAGATATGGGGACAATAACCACAGTCAGGTGAGCGGTCTGTGAGGGCCCAGGACAGGGCTAGGGAAGCTGGTTGAGGGTGATGGGCGGGCAAGTCGACCCCTCTTTCCTGGCTGAGAGTAGGAGGCAGGAACCACAGATAGATGACAACACATTTTTTCTCAGTACAACAAGGAGAAATCTCAGTGACACTGCAGGTCAGGCAATTCATAGAAACAGCACATGTTAACCCATGAAGGCCTGGGGGAACCACTGGTCAAGTGAATTCCAAACACATATAGCTTTTCTTAGATAAAATCTTTGTCCAAACCCCAAAAGGAAAGCAGATAAAAGTGGAGGCCTTCACCTGGGTAATGCAGGCCCAGAGCGCTGCCTCCTCACCACAGCCTGGAGGCACCTCCAGAGCCCCAAGGACACCTTGGAACGAAGACCACAGCTTTAAGTCTCTTCTTTTTATGAATCATGAGACTGAGGCCCAGATAAAGGTGACTTCCTTGAGGTCACAGAGTGCAGTTGGGGGGCAGAGCCGTATCTCCCCACATCCGGCCCTCGGCGTTTCTCTGTGCCGCACAGGATGCTGTAACACAATTTGTGCAATCACAGAAACAGACTTTTGAGATCCTCGTTAGAAATAGGTGAGCAAGAACAAGTCCAGTCATCTACCTTAAGCCGAGCCCTGCTGCACTAGCACATGCCAGAACAGTGAACAAAGCCAGGTGGGCCCGGCTGCTTAATCATGATGGAGCCCCTGCTGGTCCCTTCTCAGAGGCTGCCCCCACCTCAGAGAGGAGGGATAGGTATTCACACACAGCCACCCAGACCAATCCCCGGAACTCAGGGATTCCTACCGGGTCCGCTCTCTGGGATCCCAGGGGCTTTGTCAAAAGGCAAAGGCCCAAATCCCACCCTACGGCCCAGGGATTCGGATTCAGGTGGGATGCCGCATCTCGTCATTTTCCTTATTTGTACTTTATTTATTGCTGAGGTATTTTATCGTTGTCAGATTTTTTTTGACCTGCTGTTCTTCCCTATTAGTAATTTTCATACAGATGTTTATGCCTGAGTTAACTGCTAGCAAATGATCATTGTCACTTTAAAGGTAGCCCTGACGTCGACATAATTGCTAACACTCTCCAGGGCACTCTCAGCTTCTCTACCCCATGTGCTTGTCACCTGTACCCTGCGAGGGGACCAGGACGTGGCTTTTCATGCCTGTTTTACAGAGGAGGCGGGAGTTGGAGGAAACTTCTTGACACTGGTCCTGTGTTTTTCCATCTTATTGTGTTGCCTCAATTACACCTCCCCTCTGAGTGTTATTGGATGGCCTTTATTGCCTTGTCCCCTAATACTGGTGTAGTACAAAATCCTTCTGAAAAAACAAAGCTGCACGTCAAAAGGAAACTTCTTTTTCCATCCTTCTATCCAATTTTGGAAGAAGAAGGAGGTGACGTAAAAGGTCACAAAGCAGTTATGGGAGTTTGGTCCCAACTCTGGCTCTGCTCCGGCGCTGTGTGGCCTCTGTGAAGTGACTTTCCCTCTCTGGTTTCAGTCTCCACCATAGTACAAGGAGGGCTTTCTCCCAGCTCTATCAGAAGAAAACAAGGGCAGAGGAAAGCAGCACAGGACCAGGCTGTCAGGCTGCACTGCCTCATCATAAATGTGTAATTACACGTTTGCCCATGAAATGAGCCAGCCATTCTCAAATCCCACCTCCCTGTCCCTCAGAGATTGCCTGATATCAGTGAATGGCAAAAAATTAGAATTGGATCAAGTGTCTCTATTTTTTCCCTCATTTCACCAGTCATTACCTTCTCCACAGACATGTCCCCTCACAGCCCAATGCAGCTTAAAGAGAAGAGGGGTCAGTGCACAGGGCAGTGGCTCCTAGGAGCATTCTCTGAAGCTGACGACCCCACCAGTGGGATAAGGGTCCATGTGGGACTCGATGGGCAGACTACCGCCTGTAGACTCTGCTAAAGAGTCGACATGGGACTAGGAAGCCCAGACACAAATATAATCTTTTCTTGAGGAAAATCTTTGGCCAAAATTCCAAGAATATTTCTCCCTACTTGAGATTAGGGAAGTAATATTTACGGAGCACCTATGGTATGCCAAGCACTGTAATGGTTCCTTTACGAGCTCATTTAATCTTCATAGCATACTTTCAAGGTTGGCATTATCAGACCTTAAGGAAAAAAAAGAAAAAAGATAGTGAAACTGAGGCCCAGGAAGGCTTGATAACTTGTTCAAAACCATTTATCTCTCAAGTAAGAACGCTAATATTTGACCCTGTATGTCAGGTTGCAAAACTTGTGTTCCACCTATGTTCTGTCTGCCATTCCATACAAACCTCTGTTAAAACACTCCATAAGAATCCTGTAAATTATAGACTTCCCTGCATGTAGCTACACAATTCTGTAACCTCCAATCATGACCTGAATTCCTTTGGCACCTATTCCCAATGATGCCAAGTTTCACCAGCCGCCATTTTGTTTCAAGATGGCAGATCAAAGCTCAATGCAAACTCAGGTGACTTCTGACTAAAGTAAAAAAATCAAGTTACATTCAGCCAGCCCCTTTGAAAGTTTTCACTACACAGTTCAATAAACAGATAGGCAAGAGACAGCTGTGAACTACCAAATGGTCAACTTGAAACAGAGCTCATTTTTTTCCATCAACTAAACAGCAATGGTCAGTGAACACCTCGTCAAATAGAAACCAAGCTGAAGGTCTTCTCTTTTTTACAGGGCGTTAACTGGTTCCACTGGAAAGGCCACGAATATTCAATCCAGTTTGCTGAGATGAAGCTGAGACCCAGCAACTTCCGAAATCTCGAAGGCAGGCGCAAACGGGGGTAAATTCCAGGGATAACTGGGTGAGAGAGAAGTAGGGCCCAGAGAAAGAAAAGAGTTTTACCAAAGCATCGATACAATCAATCCAACCATGAAGCCACCACCTGGGCATTTGGCAGGAGTTAAAGTTGACCATGGATCATCGGGGCCAAAGGCAGCAACACCAGCCTCGCCCATCTGCGATTACTTCCTTCGCACCAAAGACAACAGTTTCCAACCTGTTTCCGTTTTGTTGTTTGAATCAGCAAAAAAATCTTCCAGTGACAGCATCACAATGGTTTTCCTTCTCTTGGGTGGCTCTGGGAATGGGAGAGGGGTAGGCTGTACAGTGGTAGTTTTAGAACCAGCTGTATTTTACACAAAGCTGTATAATTAATTATCGTTATTTTTGTTAGCAGTGTTTCAATGTGTGTCATTGGAAGCCATCCCTTTTTTACATTTCATACAACAGAAACCAGAAAGCAATACTGTTTCGATTTTAAGGATATGATTAATATTATTAATATAATAATAATGATGATGATGAAAACTAAGGATTTTTAAAGAGATCTTCCTCTCCCAAACACATCTGGACAGTACCTGATTGTATTTGTTTTTTTAATAAAAGCACAAGTACTTTTAAATTTGGCTGTTTTTTGTCTTGCATTGTTGAACCTGAATTCCACCAAGGCCACTGTATCTGAACAGAGGGAAGAACGTCGGAAGAGAAAGGTTAAGGAGGGATGGCGGTCCAGTGGAAGGGGAGGAAAGGCAGACTAAAGGCTGGGAGGGAGGAACTCCTCTTTTGAACAAAGTTGAACAAGGTTGGAAAAAGCTTACAACTTAAGATTCAGCTTCTTGATTGACATTTCCAAGACTAATCGTTTATGGTTTAAAAGATGTTTTTACACCCATTTTTTAGTGTAATCTCCTAACAATTCTATGACTTAGATGAGGTGACAATTGTTATCGTGAACAGGTTAAAATCCCCAGAGGCACACCTCCTGAGTTCAGATCTCAGCTCCACCATTCCCAAGTTCCCCAAGCTCTCCGTGCCTCAGTTTCCTCATCAGTAAAGTGGGGTTATTTGCACTTCTTAATTTCATAGCATTTCTGGGACAAATAAATAATATCATCCATATGAGGCCCTTAGCATGGTGCCTGGCATATATTACGTGCTAATAAGCATCACTACTGTCACTTTATAAGCGAATAAGCTATATATAGCTCACTATAATAAGCTAATAAGCTGTCACTACTGTCGCTTTATATATGACGGACTGGGGCTCATAGAAGTGCAATAACTTGCTACTCACCCGATTAATAACAGAACTAGGATTTAAACCCTGGCCTTCTGGCCCCAATGTTCCTGCTCTCCCTCAAGCCGCTGATAAAAATCTCTCCTTCTCTCAGGAAATGTGTGCCGTGGTGACAGAGAACAGGTTGCAGAATGAGAGGTGGGGGATGTTCAACTGGATCCTTCATCAGGCTCCTACAATCCCGAGGTCTTAGACCTAGAAAGAATGTCTGTTAGGAATATCTCCTTCTCCTCCACTCAAAACCCCCGTAAGGAAGAGAGCCCAGTGTCCCCCAGTCTCAGCCTGAATACACCAAGTGTTGGGGGAACTCACTGCCCAGCATGGCAGATTTGTCTGTAGTCAACGAATACGAGTCCGAACCACACACTACACGCTACACACTCCTCTTTTAAAACAAGGGTGGTAGGCGGTGGAGGGGGAGAAATTCCCAGTTCATTCTCTTAGGGGTATTCAGCAAATTGACTTATTTCATGAAAATGTTGGGGCTGATAGGCCTCATTCAAATGGAATGTGATGGCTGAGAAGCGAGGATCAGAGGAATTTATGGCTCCAGCCAGATCCTTTGCTGCTGAGTTTATCTTGCTTTAATAAATGCTGTCATGTTATATACACAATTTGCTGTTCCAGATCATAAGACTTGTTGCCTGCAATTCAGCCATAGCAACACTCGCCTTGCTGTGTAAACCCAAACAAACTGGCTCCTTGTAACAACCAAGCCTGAAATGGGAGGCTTAACCCTCTGCTGGCTGCTGACTTGGGATTCTCTGAGCCCCAGTCCCATCCCCTCCCCAGAAATATAGATATAACTGAGCTGGTAAGGTATTCCGCAGAAGCCACACAAGAATCAAATTCTGATTGGGGAAGAAACCACGGCAAACAGGAGTCCTGAATCTTGGCTTTGAGAAGGTGGCAGATGCCCCCAAATAGGGGCAGGTAGGTGGAAGGAAGCCATGACGTTCAAAGCTTCACAGTGGGTTTCAGATGCCTACCCACCATGAGCTTTGGTCGAAAGTGTGAGTTCACCATTTCTCAAACACATCTTTCAGTGGCTGACTCATTGGCTTTGTTCACGCAACCTCCTCCATCTTGCAAGTTCATCTGAAATTCTACTCCACCCTCAAAGTCCAAGCCCACTTCTACCCACCATGAAGCACTCAGTAGCTCTCCACTGAGAATTAATTTCCAGAGTGTTTGGTCTTCCCTTTGCCCCTCCCCATCTGCTCTCTTCCCTTCTCCCTGCTCTGTATCCTTCAAGGCCACTCTATATGAAGTATATCAATGGACTCCCATGCCCTCAGGATTCTGGTTGGGTATCAAAATGGGCAGCACATGGACATTGAAAAGAGGACACTGGTGGGGATGGGGGGATAGTGAGTCAAGGTACTTTTTTTTTTTTTAAAGGATTTTATCATGAATTTCTTTTTTTGTGTGTGAGGAAGATCGGCCCTGAGCTAACATCTGCCAATCCTCCTCTTTTTTTTT